TCGATAAAAAGTGGCATGTGTGGCAGCGCCCCTTGTAGTTAATACATGTGATATTTCTTTCTCTTCGGTCAGTGTCTGATTTACATTACTTAAAAGCATCGAAGTTTCTCGTGTTCTCTGCTTTTTCTAACAGAGTTTGCTACACCACGTTGTCCTAATTTTCGAGGATATGGTTTTTCTCATCATTAGGTGGAATTTGGTTGACGGAACAACTCAACTCCTCCTCCCCCCCCCACCTCCATTCGTGCTCGTTCAACGCGAACTAGGTTGAAAACAATCGGAACAAGGTAGAAAAGGTCACTGAAGAAGAACATATATAAGCGAACGAGTAGAAAGAGAACACTGCCACTCCATGAGCACTGAACTTGTCACTTCGGCTGGTGATGAAACGTTCATAAACTAATCATCAAGCTCGGTTAACAAATAAAAATGAATTCATTCCATTCAGCTATGAGAACCGATTGAAAATGCTGCATCAAACTTAAAATTGTTTCAGACAATTGTCGAGCTCTCACTCTGTCATTTAGGATGCGGCACAACCTCGTCATAAATAAGTTCAATGCTAGTTTATTATCTTTTATTCGACCTGAGGACACTTGGTTTCTTCGATGCTTCGGGTGATAACTTTGTATACACTGATCATTGCTCTTGACATTGTCTGACTTTCACCCTTTTAATGATGCTTATCATTCACTTCTACACAATTTCGGCTTTCGTATCTAGAAAATCGAAATTTAACCTCGTTCACAGCATGGCGTCCAAACATAAGGTCAAATGCACTCCCCCCTGTAGTGGTTTTCATTTGGGGTTTTACCGTAAAACAAAAGAGACCTTACTATTCGAGTTGTCATTGGTCTCTATTGTTGTCTCAGGTTACCTTGTTTAACAATGTGAATAGCCTGTTGGACGGTGATTGTTGGACCGCAAATTTATTGAATGAAGTAAGCATATGACTTTTGTGCTTACTGAATTGATCAGACAATTTAGGTTTGGATTCTTTGAATGCTCGACGATTATTAGCAAAAAACAGCTTTTGTCAATCAGGCTGACGTAATTAGCATTAAGTCGCGACCAAATGTTTTTCGGACTAGGTCTAAGTGTGTCGAGGACGTTGTGATGCAGATGATCACAGGCTTCAAGGTGTTGTGCAACACACCTTTTCCAAGTAACATGGTTCCGAATTGTCACAGACTACTCTTCTGCGGTTTAAGGATTATTCTGCCGATAGTGATTAGTCCTTTGCGTTCCAGAGTGAAACATCGAATTCAATACTGATTTGATTATTTCTACATTTATTTTCTCGTTCTATCATTCCACAAATTCTTATAGTCGATTATTCAAATCTTTATTTTCAGTACCATGATGTCTTTATTTAATTTCGAAATATGCCCATACTCGCATTTAAAACACAATTTCAAGCAAACAATTGTTTTCAATAACTCATAATCATACCGCAGATGATCGAGTACCGTTTCTAGATGTACTCCTCATTAGAGGATGTGATGGATCTATACAACACCGTGTGTACCGTAAGAAAACCTGGAGTGGCCAATACACGAATTTTTACAGCTATGTCCCGATCAAGCTAAAGAGTAACCTGATAAAATGTTTGGTATCTACAGAGCTCGAATAATCTGCTCCCAATTAGTACCGGAAGATGAACTCAAATTTATCTCCAAAGTGTTCAGAAGCAATGGCTATACCGACTGCTTCATTCAACGAATTATGATGGAACAGGTACCAAAAGTACACACTGATAGGGTGGAAGAGAAGGACCTGTTCCTTAGTCTGTCTTTTAAGGGTGAAGTTTCCGCTGAAACCTTCATAATACGACTGAATAGAGTGGTTAAAGCCACATTCAGCGCCGCGCACCTACGCCGCTCTTTCAAAAGTTCGCCACTGATAACCTTTGGAATAAAGATAAACTACCAATGTCGACCGCTTCAATCATTGTTTACTCGTTCAGATGCGTTTGTTACACACTCTACGTCGGTCATACGGCACGGAAATCATCTATCCGCATGAAAGAACACCATCCGCGCTGGCTGAGTCAAGGTGGTTCGGTATCTATCACAACTGCGATTCTCACTTAATTGGTAGACACTGGCCATCGTATTGACCCAAGTGAAGCATTCCGCATTATTTATCAGGTTCCCCGGGAACCACTCTAAATATGTTAGAACGCTTTCGATGGCCATAGCCGAAGCCATCTGTGTTAAACATTTACCCCCCGAACTATGTGTCCAGGAGCATCTTATCCAAGCTCTCCAGCTCCCCTGGGTTAGCGAATCCAACCCTCCCCCTTGCACATACACATGGATTTTCACACAACAACATCGATCCCTCAGAGCTGGGTCACATGACCAATGTGACATAACTGAAAACTCCGAAAGCACAGATCTGAGAATGCGGTGTGCAACACAAACACAGACACGGATACACAAAGTGAACGATCCCTTACATTGTATTGTTCTCCTCTCAGCCCATGGATTATCTCCCCTCATATAAACTGTAAGAATATGATTATGAGTTATTGAAAACAGTTATTCGCCTGAAATAGTATCCTTTCTTGTTCCCACTTCTAGCCCCACTTATCTACTACTATATGTACAAGTATATGAATGAACTGACAAAAGATTACCGGATACGCATGCCTGACGAGCGGCAAGAACCGAGAAACCGGTCGTGTGCTTCCAGGGAAATTTTGTCGTCATTCACATAGTACTTATTATACATATATATATAATCACCCAACGTTCATCTTAGAGGAAATCCATTAAAACTAGTGGTCTCAAAATACCGCTTGGAGTGCCGGCGTCAGTCATTCTCAGTCAGAGTGTGTTCGATCTCTCCCACCCTACGTCGTCTGTGCCCCAAGTATTGAATCCGTCAAACTGAGACTCGATGAAGCGCTAGCACACCTTACATTCCAACATAAGTAAAGCTGCGTGCAGCAGTGGAACAATCCCGTATCATGTGACCTTTTACACAAGGAATTATATGCATCACTGTATTTTAACCACCACACAAACCTATGGGACGAGAAAAGTATGAGCTTGTAAGTTATTCCCATAATTAATCTTTGATCTTTGATCCCTGAGGTGTAAACTTGTCGCAAACGGACTTGGGGTATATGTTCGCTTTCAGAGTCTAGCACAAGGTATAGTGATGCGTTCAAGGGAACATTGTAAACAGCCAAACAGTCGCATTTAAATTAAAAATTCGGTTTGTTTGCTCAAGTTCGACAAACTACATACGCAGGATAACCAGGCAATTTTCTCGAAAAATCAGGGAACATAAACGACAGATGGAAAATACAAGGACCATTTCGAGTTCAATCACAGCGTACCTCATAGATACCGAATATCAGGTATATGAAGATGCGTTCAGAATCGTCTTCAATGTACCCCAAACCCTTCCGACAGC